CGATGGCCTCCAACCTAATAGCGATGGCCTCCAACCTTATATCGATGGCCTCCAACGTAATAGTGATGGCCTCCAACCTAAGAGCAATGAGCACTAGCGATGGCCTCCAACTTAATAGCGATGGACTCCAACCCAATAACGATGGCCTCCAACCTACTAGGGATGGCCTCCAACCTAGAAGCGATGGCCTCCAGCCTAGAACTTTTAGAAAGAGCCAAGGTGGGCAGCAATTGGCAAAATCAAAGGAAGCCCTAGTCGTTGAAAACCTTGACCGAAATCTCTGTGGGGACCTACGCTACTTCCAATTGACGAAATTTGTAGGGCCTTGGGAAGGGAAGCGGACTTCCGGACGATTTTGTAGCCTGTGATCGCATGGATTCATAAGACCAAAGTTTTCGAAGTATCAACGTACACAAACAATGCCTGGCCGGGCATATAGAAATGTGTTCAAAACTCAAATCTTGGTGCTGGGATGGCTTCCCCCAGTCCCAGGGCAGCGTGCCGATCACCCAGCCTTCAGCCGCTTCGCCACCGGCCTCTAGAATTGCCCCACGCAACGCAGAGCGCATGCTGTGGATGTGGCCATCCTCAGGTGCATTCGGAGTGAAACAGGTCCACACCCCAAAGGCTGTTGGTAATATGGAGAACAGGATCCATGGATGTATCAAATGATGGCTAATGAGATTTTGCAGGGAAAATCAATTGGTTTGGGTGTTGGTCATCGAAAGCGGAAAAAGAGTTGATGTAAACCAATGGAAGTGGGCCATCCAAACCCAATATCCCATACCAAATCATTCCTGAATGCTCAGCCAGTGATATTTTTGGCGCGGAGCCAAGTCTTCGTAGCGGAAGATTGCCGCCGAGCCCTCCAGTGTGGGGCGTCCCATTCGCAAACGGAAGGCGCCTAGTGGCGGAGGCGGCAACAGAAGCCCTCTTAGCGCTGCAGAAAGGATGACGAATGGCCTTTGGGGAGGTGGATGATGAAGATGAGTAGTGTCTTTTTTCGTTTAGCATTCGATGAACTGCCCAACCCTGCCAGAAAAGAACTGGATATAACTGGTGGACATTCAGCGCTCACCTCATCAAATGGTCTGGCCTTTGGGCCACTCCGGCGATTTTTGAGCTTTGTCCAAGACCTGCAGCCAGCGCTCCACGGCCTTCGTGTCCTCCAAGGGCCCTGAAACAAAGAAAACGGTGAACAGCACAAGGTAGAAGGTAGTGGTAACAAGTGGTGGTGCCCGTGGTGCTAGCAGTGCCACTACTGCTCCTGCTTCTCTTCCTACTACTCCTCCACCTCCTCCTCTCACTACTACTGCGGTCCAAGTGCTAACTCTTCAGTGGTATGTTGAAATGTGCCAGGATTCGATGATCAGATAAGCAGTCTGTGACATCACGCCCTAGCTGTTGAAAAGGTACTGTAGGACCAAAACCGAAAGCCCACTGATTTCTGTAATTCAGAGTCTTGTATTGCTTTGTTGATCCAACTGCGGTCTGATACATCCAAGAACCATTTTGGAAGTGATTCTTGTTGCTAGTAGCGAACATTGCTCCTAGTAGCGATGCCACCAGGAGCCCCCTAGTAGCGTCCTTTTTCTGCTTTCTGCAGTACTTTCATTTGCAATCCTCGGATCACCCCACCTGCAGTGAATGCACGGAAGGTGCAAATGGTGCAGTGCAAGGTGCTGGCGGGGTAGATGTAGGCCTCCGCTACATTTGCTACCAAATCACCGCGGTTGTGCATGAACTCTCAACATATCAAAATCAAACACACCAAGCCTGGCATTTGGTCAGAAGTAGAACCGTCACCTTGAGGTTGGGCAAAGAACCCTCTCCATCGGCCTACCCTCTGGCCTCTTTGGGCATACCCTCAATCAAACGCTCGCGGAATCGCTCGTACTGCTTCTGCCTCAGGTCTATGGCAGAGAAACATTCTATAAGAGGCTTAGACGGTGTAGACGGACTGAATGCTAGACTGAATGGGATTGAAATGGTTCCTGCGGAAAGCTCAAAGAGCAGGTCTACCTCACTTTCCTGCACGCAAGGCAAGGTGCCGACGAACCTGTGACCGGTTCGACAATGTTAGACCATTACGCGAAAAGGAAAGGTTAAAAATGGAGAAGGTTGCTCCTTGTTCTATCGATGGGAGGCCTGACAAGAATCTAATATCCAGTACAGGACATATCGGTTTGGAGTTCACAGACAGTGATGATATAATGTCTACGTCTCGTAGACCATCACACTGTACAAATTCAAGTGAAAACCTGGAACATGAAGGCCAGGGGGCAGGAAAAACCTTCTAGGAAGGGAAAAACCTGCCACAGTGAGACCAAGTGAAACGAGGCAACGCGAAAAGGGCTGCCATGACAGCGGGTCAGAGGCCCCCAGGGCTGAGGCATAGACTATGCTGTCTCCGCCATTGGTGTCCCCGCATAGTCAGTAAACAGAAGCCAAGGCCCACTGTACTGACGGCCGCCGTGGTGCAAGAGAAAAATGCAATAAAAGGTCGGGGTCCAGGAAGAGGAAAGGCAAGAAGCGAACAGCCACCATCGGCAATTCACGGTTCCAGGAGCAAGCCGGCAACAAGGCCGGAGGCATGTGGTGGCGCCGCGGCACCACGACGCCGACGGCGCAATGCCCGTCCAGCTCCTCGCGCCAGCACGACAGCAAGCTGGTCCAGGAAGGGTCAGATCAATGCCCTCGACTGTGGCTACCAAGCCAGCCAGGCGGTGAAGGAAAGCCCGCGTTGCTGCCGTGCACCCACCATAGATGTCCCACACAAGGGGCTGGTAATGAATGCCTACTTGTTGGCAGGAGGCCGCGGTATCCAAGTGATCCCGCTTCCGCTGCGCGTAGGCAGTGACAGCATCTGGCGCCCCGCGTAAGGTGTCATCCCAGTGGCTGGGGCCCAAGGAGTTGATGATAGCCACATCCAAGGCGAGGGCACCAAGCCCAACGGGCCGGGAGCCATCAGGCAAGGCTGGAAGAAGGCCAGCCCCACCTCGCAAGAAGATGTCAGCAGGCCGCCGTCGCCCATCCAAAAGTGCCTGGGGCCGCAGCTGGGCCCGTGCACAGTAGTCGTGCAAGAGGTCCCGCAAGCCATTGTGGAGAGCAACAGCATCACCGCCGGCCATACAAGATTGTGGGTGGCGGCCCTTTACATCCATAGGCAAACCGCAAAAACGGCAGGCCCCGCCCCCAAGGCACATATCGACGCCAAGGCGACCGCCCAAACAAGTCAGGAAATCATCCTTGGAGAGATTGGTGTCAAGTATGCGCGAAGGGACAAGGTTCAAAACCGTTTCAGCAGAGTCCGCAGAACATGCGTGGAGGCGACAAACATCGTCGGTGCCTGCAGCTGCCTTCCAAGCCAGAACGTGCACTTCCCGGAGTCGATGTGAGATGGCCGGTTGGCTCAAACTGCGGTCCGGCTGGTCCCCCAAAGGAGGTTGGAGACCAGCTTGTTGCAGCAACCCATTGCACCGGGCAATGGCCAACCCAAGTTCACTGCCACCGTCCAAGCCATCCCAAGCAGCGGGCGTCCACAGGGCGTGGCACCGCTCCAAAACCAAGAGACGTGAGCCAATGTAGGCAGCATCCGCGAAGTAAAACCGCAGAGCGAAGCCCGAGGCCACCACTAGCAACCGGCAGCTGAGCTTGCTTCCAGGCTTGGGGGTCCAAAGCAAACCCCGTGGAAGCGCAAAACGCATCACGCAGGGCCGAGTCAAAGGCGACCAGACCAGGGAGACAATGCCGAGCAGGGGTAGTGCGAGCCAGATAATTCATCCGGCCCCCAGTGCAACACCACCGCAGCAAATAATAGCAAACCTGAGGATCCGCCAAGGCACCAACCGATTGCACTAGAGTTGCTTGTTGGGCTGCCCGCTGTAGACAGTATTGTCGGTTGAAGTCTGCATCGCCAACGGGAGATTTGAGGACCTCGAAATTGCCGTCTTCGCAGAGAGCGCACCCTAAGGCAGCAAAAGGACGAAGGTCGACCTGATGCTGGCGCCCCGCAACCGGAGCAACAGAGGCAGTGGACAACTTCAGCCCAAGACGCGGCATGACAACGGACCAATGCTGCAATGCCCGCAATACCTCGCCAGAAGGCCCGGCAAGAAGGCCATCGTCCGCAAAGCACGGTGCCATATCCAGCTGAGCGGGCGGTTGCAATGTGGGCAGTGCCACAGCTGTGCCGGCAGGTGGGTCAACCAAGCCCAAGCTTTCCAACAGTAGCCGCTGCACCACAGCATGGCAGGCCGTCATCAAAGGGCACCCTTGTTGGCCGCCCGCAACGGAAGGAATGACCACATGGTGGAAGAAGACCTTAGTATCAATGTCGGTGGGGTAGATGTATTCTAACCAGCGAGAAAGGCCAGGGGCTACCTCCTGCATGCGGGTCAGAAATACATGGCGATCAACCACATTGTGGGCATTGCCCTCATCATAGGATAGGCACACGCGGTCGGTGTCAGCGCGGTAGTGGTGCTCCCACTGCTGGTATAAATGTGGCATAACCTCAGCGCCAGCCGAGACACCAACCGCGAGCTGGTGCGGCAACAAGTGCGCCCGCAATGCCGGAAGCTCACTCCTCAGCAAGACCTTGCCAACAAGTCGGCGCAAAGCTTCACGGGCACATAAAGGCCGCGCGTCGGCTGTGCCAGTCTTACTAAGCTTCGCCAAGGCTGTGCCACGAGCCCCACCTAAGTAAGGCCGCAAAGCAGCAGGAGCCCGCCCATCAGCAAGGAGGTTCACAAGGTCAGTCAGGGCCTGCGCTCCATACTGCTCATCCCCAGCATCAACAAGCTGCTTGAGGAAGTCGGGCCGCATACCGGTAGGCCCTGGCGCGGCACCCCGGGGGAAGGAGCGTACCGCCCGCACCACCTCATCGCAGCTAATGTCATTGGCCGGCGGTGCTGCCGCCCGTAGAGAGGCTGCTTGGTGGGGAGGCCGCGTCGGAAATTTGGCCTGCGTGGCAGCAACAGTGTCTGGTGTAGGGGCTGCTGGTGGGGCTCCCGAGAGGCGTTGCACGGCCTTGCCTGGCATGCCTCGGCGGGCATACTGCTCTGCGACCAGACGGGCTGCCTGCTCCTTCTCCTCATCTGTTTGTTGCCGTGCAAGCCGAGGCGCGCCACGACGGGCTACGACCTCATCCCATAAGCTCCGTCGCTCTCCGAGAGCCCACCGTTCCAGGCGGTTGGAGCTGATGTTGTGGTTTCTGCGGCGCTTAGCTGCTCCACCAGGTAGCGCAGCCAGCCAGTTTTGCAAAACATGAAAAGCTCAAGCCAAGCCAAACGACACCGCTTGCGCGGAGCCGTGTCTGCCAGTCCTCCGGGGCAGCCCAAGCATCGCCTGTGTTGTGCTGGAGGACCTGCACAATGCAGCGTAAAAATTCTTTCTGCGCAGAGGGCAAAAGAGCAGAACTAATCAAATCGCGAGTGCCAACGGGCGCAGAAAACATTTCATCCAAGGAAGGAAGGCTGCCCAGCACTGCGTCCAAGTCAGCATCCCCACAGGCACCAGGAAGAGACAGGGGCTGAGGTCTCGCAGCCATGCGATCCGCCAGACAGGTGCGGTGGACCCCGCCGTTGCAGCGGCGACTGATGAGGTGGGAGCACTCTCGGCATGAGACCATGTTCCGCGCCCGCAGCCATTCAGCGGGCACTGCGCCAGGGATCTGGCCCAGAATGTGGGCATCAACATGAGCCCGGAGACCGGTAAAGGTCTCCCACCCAGCGTGGCCTCGGTGGGCTGCTGCTACGCAGCCTGGCACTGGGCAATGCATACGCGCAGCACCAGTGTGCCCCCCATCCATGGGCACGTCGCCGTCATCCGGCTGCATGGCCGCATCAGCAGCGGCAGCCGCCGCCCCAGACGACGGAGGCCGCTCCCCCCCCGACGGGGGTCCCAGGAGCAGGCGCCATGCGGGTGAGACTATGTGATTCGTCCTCGGCTTGCCGCTTGCCCATGCTTGACCTCTGGTCAACCTTTCCTTGGTGTTGATACGAGGACATGGGGCCCCAACCACCACTTCCTTAACAGGAGCAAAGGGCATTGCTACTAGGAGCAAGGACGCTACTAGCTCCTGGCCGTACTACTAGGAGCAATGTTTGCTACTAGTAACAAGAAACTACAAGGAACAAGTGCCTCGCTAGTAGTAACAAGTGCCTTACTAGTAGTAACAAGAAGCTTCCTCCCACCCCCCCCGCGCGCGCGCGCGCGAGGTCCTAGTAGATTCCTTTGCTAGTAATTACAAGTGCCTCGCTAGTAGTAACAAGTGCCTTACTAGTAGTAACAAGAAGCTATAAATTTAATCTAAATTTAAGTTCAATTCTAATAGCGAACTTTGTTACTACTAGTAAGGCACTTGTTACTACTAGCGTGGCACTTGTTACTAGTAGTAACAAGAAACTACTAGGAACAAGTGCATCGCTTCTAGTAACAAGTGCCTTACTAGTAGTAACAAGAAGCTTCCTCCCACCCCCCCCGCGCGCGCGTGCGTGCGCGGGAAAAGGTCCTAGTAGATTTTTTGCTAGTAATTAGATCATTACCCGTCGAAAAGAAATCGGCATTGTTCCGCCTGTCCCAAAGAAGTTTCTTGGCGCAGCTCAGATAGATTTGCAACCAAGATGCACCCCTTCGGGCATTGGCCATGAGCAATTCCTGCAGCAGATTGCCCCTCTGAAGAAAGCTTGAAGTTCACTTAAGTATTGCTAGAAGCTTACTCTCTTACTTAATCAAGTAGGCGCCTACTCAATTAAGGAGGCAGGGCCACGGGCTAGAAAAAAGAACTTGAAGAAAGCTTGAAGTTCAGTTTAAATTTAAGCTTCACTAAAAATCAAGGAACCAAATCATTAGTGCGAGCTATCTTGCGTCCCATTGCTGGAAGCTTAAGTCTTGCTAGAAGCCTACTCCCTTACCTAATTAATAGGTGCCTACTTAATTAAGGAAGCAGAAGGAAAAAAATCTGAAGAAAGTGTGAAGTTCCAAGTTGGAAAGACCATGTGAAGTGTGGTGGATGGTTGTGAGACTTTCCTATGCTATCAAGCATTAGCCGCATTAGAGGAAGGTTCAAGAGCAAGTGTGAAGATTCCTTGTCTCAAAGGAGGTTACTTTTTTGGTGTCCTGCCTCTTGTGTGAACACGCTGTGCCACATGATCCCCAAACACACTGCAGTTTTCTTTGGTTTTAACACCCACCCAAAATATCAAACATGGTTCATTTCAGACTATACGTTACCCTACTCATTGCCCTGGAAGAAAAGGTATGTCATTGCTAAATCAAATCATTGCTAGCTTCCTTTTGACAGGAAGAGCTACTGACTGAAACAAATCTCTTCAAAAGAAACCGCCCAAGGAATCCAACATCCTCTCCACCGAGGATCAGCACGAGCCCCTTCTTCTCGCCAGGCGCCACGTCGCCTTTCGCCAGGCGCGCCACGATCTCATTGGCCCACGACATCTTCACGGTGCAATGGCCTCCTTTCTTCCTCTTTTTCTTTGTTTCTAATAGCTAGTAGTAACAAGTGCATCGCTACTAGTAACAAGTGCCTTATTAGTAGTAACAAGAAGCTACTAATAACAAGGGCATTACTACTAGTAGCAAGTCTAGTGAAGTGATGGCCTCCAACCTAGAAACGATTGGTTGATGTTCAAAAAGAACGGTGTTCATATGTTCAGTATGGCATGGTAGCTCAGCAACAGTCAGTGGTTGAGAGTTTTTCAGTGATCTTTTTCATTTGCCGCCTTGTTTAAAGACAAACAAGAAACCAAAACAGGCCTTTGCTTAAGAGGCTTCAGCATGGTTTCGATGCGATCCATGAATCGTCCTTGAGCTGATGAGCACAATCCTTGAGGCCACATGCAAGCTTAAGCTGGATATGGGATAAACAAACACCTAATAGCAATAGCCTCCAACCTAATAGCGATGGCCTTAGCGATGGCCTGCATCCAAATAGCTGGATATGGAAAAAACAAATTTTCAATTGTTTTTACAACAATTCAATCTCAAGTTGCTCATCAAATTCACGCAGAAGTCGCATAGTGCTTGCGAGCATGTTCCCTATCACAGGTGTTTCAAGAATTCCAACTGTCCACGTGCTCCGATTGTAACCGCGGCATCTGTCACTCCAATCTAAACACATGATTTGGAAACATGATGGAGCTCTTTTAGCATCCGTCCTCAGATCAGGAATTGAGAGTTAATCCTCTCTTCAAGTGCTGAGTCAACCGTACACCGAAAATGGAAAGGAACAACAGTCATCTGCCATAGTTGAAACGGTGGAGGATGTTCGTAGCTCGTGGTCTCACCACCCCGCTCGTCTCTAACCTACTAGCGACGGCCGCCAACGTACTAGCTATGGCCTCTCCCCCGCTCGTCTCTCGTTGAATTTCTCCAGTGGACTCCTCTCTTTCGTGGGCGTCGGATCGTGCATCGCGTGCCTTTTTTTACATCCGCAGAAACCCGCGGGTTCGGCGCACAACATGTCATTCGGATAGGAACTGTTATCGGGGAAATCACATCAAAAATGATGGTTGCGTAGCTTCTTCAAGCAAACCTTGATGCACTCATGATCGACTGAAAATTACTGTTTAGTTTCAACTATGTAGGCGCCTACTTAATTAAGTAAGGGCTTGCCAAAAACATGTTCCTGATTCCTGCAAATTGGACCTCATTTCGCCTTACATCCATGCAATTGACGAGACTCTTCGCCAGGACACTAGACCTAATGGGCGCTCCCAGTCTTCCAGTGTGTGAAACAATAAAAGTACAAAAAACAATCAAATGTCAATTACTTCCAAGGCATCCACAAACAAGACAGTTGCAAGGACCGCCGATGTTCCGGTGTACCACAGTCGGACCAGAAGAACAGGAAGACCCTCCCTGGCCAACCCTTTGTCATTCCAAAAAGAAGTAAAGGAACCAAAACCAGCACAAATTGCTTGGCTTGCGGTTGGCTAGGGAGATATGTTCTTCAGCTCCATTTGTGAGGCTACTGAGGCTTGTGAGTGGCTACTGTTCAGCCGGCAGTTCAGCCTCTTCCTTCGTCTCATCCCCGTGCTTCTCAGCTTGCTCTGCTTCATCCTTCTCACACCATGACTCCTTGGTGCATCATGGTGCATCTGCAGCCCTCCTTCAACCCCCAACAGCGTCAGGGCGCTTTGAAGTGGGGTGAACATACTGGGAGGGCCTCCAACCTCTAGCAATGGCCTCCAACCTACTAGCGATGGCCTCCAACCTTTAGCGATGGCCTCCAACCTCTAGCAATGGCCTCCAACCTACTAGCGATGGCCTCCAACCTACTAGC